GCCTATATTTACACCCGTGCCATCGAACTGTTGTATAAACGCAATATCACCCTCGGACTCGAACGATACCGGCTCTATATCAGCAGCTGTGATTGCCTGTGGCCTCGTGCCTCTGGCCTAATCACAGCCACTGATATAGAGCCGGTATTCGCTCTCATACTCAAGTGATATTGCTCATTTAAAGACTGAAAAGTATCAAGATATATTTTTCAGCACTACCAGAAACATATTTACGTTGCTCTGTACTGATATATGAAATGCCTATGGTTATGGTGTGTGAAGCGACAGCCTCATTCCTGGAGGCCCTCTAAGGTATCACAGCACACACAGATCTCCAATGTCAGATAAACCAGCAATTCCTACATTTATTTTACTTGGAAGACAAAAAAAAACATGTTTCTTGGCTTTTAAATGTGATGCTCCGCTTTAGCTAACCAAAATACTTTAGTTTTCAACCCATTGATCTTGAATGACATTGATCTTCACGACCAATGACAGTGTGTTTACAATGTTAATAAGTAATAAAACAAAACCCCACAAGTAAAACAGACATTTAAAATTCAATACTTACAATATTTAAAAACAAACCTGACTCAAAATTGCAAATGACCAGACCTCACTGAACTTTTACACTTTCTTTTATTTAAATAACACAAACTCCCACCAGACTCCTCCTGTAGACGCTTTAAAGGTGTTTTTAGTGTAAAGGGTGAGTGTTTTCACCTTGCTGCGGATGCGCAGGTGACTGTAGGGAATGAACTCCGGCTGCTCATGGCTGTGTTGCTGAGCCCTGAGGTACATGTTCAGCATGCACACCGCGACTCCAGGCAGCGCCACCACAAACGACAGGATCTTCCAGGTCTTGGCTACATGAACATATATCAGAAATAGAGACATATTACAAACAAATCTGATTGACACGTGATTAACATTCATCATTACTACACAAAAGTCTAATCGAACTTCTATTTTGCAGTCTATGCCAACGACAGAACCACATTAATCAGCCATTCGCGTCACATCCACAAGGTCAAAAGGTAGAGTTCCGGCTGTTCGTAACGGTTGCTCTTTTTAGTTCGGCGTCTGTTTTAGGCTATTTAGAGCTGGTTACTGACCTGCTTGTTCGCTGTGAGCTGCTGCTGCAGCCGAAAGCTGACGGGTTTGGGTCAGCCCAGCTGACTTCAGGAGCTTCTGGGGTAAACGTCCGACCGCGGCCATTTTTGCGGAGACTGGAACAACAGCGGCGGAAGAAGCTTTAAGGCTGGTGCTGGTGCTTGACGCGCCCGCCATCCGGTGACGGGGAGGTCCGACAACGGCTCTGTCTGACTAGTTGTTGGGGGTTTTGATTCATGAGCAGTGACTCGAATCTTTCGAATCTAGTCGCTGAAAAGATTAATCGATCAGGATCATCAGGTCGTAGGTGGCGAAAATGCGTGTTTTTGAGTGAACAAGCGAGCAAATCATTGACTCAAACGATTCATTAAACAAAACAGCAGAGTGATTTATACGTTCTAACAAAGATACTATGCCATTTTAATTGTGTTCATGTCATTTATATTATTTGAATGATGTTAATCAGTAATTTTTATAATTCTTCCTTCTTTTTTGTCTTCTTGTTGTGAATAAAATTGACTCACAATGACGAGCTAAACGAACAGAGCAGGTCCTCATTAACCAGGGCTGTCCATTGTGTCCAAACTCGGTCCTGGAGGGCCGGTGTCCTGCAGAGTTTAGCTCCAACTTGCCTCAACACACCTGACTGGAAGTTTCTATGCCTAGTAAGAGCTTGAGTTGGAGCTAAACTCTGCAGGCCACCAGCACTCCAGGACCGAGTTTGGACAGCTCTGCTCATTAACGAACGAGATGATTTGTTCATTCAGTTCATTCACGCACGAATGTTGCTGCGCTGCTTCGACTGACTCTCCTTCTGACTCGAAATGTCGACTAAAGGGGGCGTGTTCGCTTAGTAAAACCAACCAATGAAATGCGCCTTCACAGTCCGCACTCAAATACTATTGGTTAAGCGACAGTCAGGCTGTGTCCGAAATCGCCCCCTATACCCTCATTCACTATTCCCT